GCTCAAAAAATAGTTCATTAATTGAGCCGTGACGATAATTAGGTCAGGAGGGGGAGGGAATAGATAATTGATTTTTAATTTGGATTTGAAAATCACTCAACAAAAACACCTCCAACGCCCGCAACCGAAATTACATTCTCATGGCACTCTGTCAATATGGCGGTTGAAAATGTCAAATGGGAAAATACTAATAACAATTTTCACAAGCACTAGACACTCCCGAGACCCAATTTTCGTCACATCAACTATTTTATTCTTTTTTTTTATGAGGTTTCCCGAAGCAATTGGAGGGATATAAAGCCCGTTATTAGAGCGCGCCAGAGTTCTATTCTACTAGCGCCGCGCTGGTTGATGGTTGATGCTTTTTTATTATGCCTTTTTTTATTGTTCCTTTTAATAATTAATGACTCATCATCGTTCCATTATGCTGAGTGTTAACACGCATGAAAAAATTTCATAGAAATTTTTAGCGAATTCGCTAGACAATTTTATTGTATTTCTACTGAACTGTTTATTAATTTTTGGCCATTTCCATCGAAATGTTCAATGGAACATATTCAATAGAAAAAATGTGGCGCGAGCCACAATGGATTAATTTCTTGAATTTATTTCGTAGCGTCTCGAATATTCCAAACGTCGGAATTCGAGACAAACGTCATTCTGTCCTTGTCCCTCACGAAATTTCAGGACACTTCTCGAACCTTCGATAAACGAAGGTATATAAACTCGTACGCTCTCCGGCGGACGAGGTCAGTCTACTTTTGAGTAAGCATTGTAACGAATATGTGGGGATGTTCGTTAGAGACACCACCAGGACCTGAGAACATCCACCTCCGGCGACGTTCGGAAACGGATCGTGAGTAGAGAGAGAGAACGAGAAATTAGGGTTTTGTTTCCCACTCCGGTGTGGTCATTTTTCCGATTATCCCTGGGATAATCGAGTCTCGTTTTTCCGTGTAAGCGGAGTTATTTTTCGTTGCTTCGCGCTCCCGTTTAGTAATTTTGCGGTTTCGTTTCGTTTTTGACTAATAAAGATCTGAAATTACGCGTTTTTGAGGGCCCATAGGGTTATCGTGAACAAGGGCCAAATTTTAGAGTCATCCGATAACCTGTATGGGAACCACCCTATTGTTAATCTTACGGTAAATCGTTTAGGTCCGGCTGAAATATCGGCGCTCCAAATTATGATGGATTTTACGGTGGTTAACTGGTTACGTTTCAGTTGTTCGGTGGAAGGTCACGTGGAACAAGTGCAACCCTTGGATCCCGTGAATTGCCAGGTTGCTTAGAGTTTCGGAAAGTTAAGAGAATTAGTTAGGAGTATCGGTCTTTTAACCCCGTGAATCCAGGAGAACCGACCCGTAAGAGACGCCAAAACTCCACGGTAATTTTCTGAACGTCCACCAGTTCGGCCGAGATTAATCATCAGTCAATTTTATAAAGTTATGAATAATTAGAGTTGAGTCGCGTTTGAATTCCCCGAAATCATTCGGTGGCGCCATCAAACCTCCTGCTTGATGTGCTAAAATCTCCGCCAATCAGAGCACGCCTCTGTTGGCCGGAATTTGCGCTGCGGTTAGTGCCCGTGACACTGACCCAGGACAGTTAGTTCGGCGTTGACCAGCATCGATCAGTAATCGCGTGTGAACATCCGTGTGCCCCTACAACGCAATTATGCAATTCGGATTATTGTGCCTTCAAAGAAGCTGTAAGGATCCAGGATGGTCCGAAAAGGGAAAAGATCGTTAAACTTCGTAAAACAGTGAGTTTTCTGGTATTTTTTTCCCTAATTTCGAGCCATTTCCGAGTGGCGTCGTCTCCCCTTTATGGCGGTATCCCTCGCGTGGCCCTCAGCCACGTGCAGTGGTTGACCACCGCCCTTTTGTCATATTTTGTGGTTCGAATTCAGCATTTTTTTTGCATTATCCCTTATTCCGGATTTTTATCCATGGGTCCTTCGGATTTTTGGATCGGATATTCCACCCAAATCGGGTCGGTACCGAGTTCTCGCCCCTTCCGGTTTATCCCAATCATCTTTTGAGATGATTTCCGGGTTCAGCGAGTGTGTTTGTTCAGTAGTGGAATTCTTACGTCTTTTCCCAGTCGAAATCTGACGATTTTCGACGTGGGCTATTTCCTTTGTTACGTCCTGTTTTAATTTGAAGGTGAGGGTAAGTGCTACTTTTTCAAACGCAAAAGGTTTGAGGGATTTGCCCCTTTTCCATTATTAATTTTTTATGTATATGCATTATTTTCTAACCTTTACGGAATTTTTCCAGGTGGTGCAGTTTCTCCGGGAGTCCAGTCAGGAATTTCTGGGTTGACGGAGTGATCCGCAATGGATGAAACTCTCGAAAGGGTGCCTGGAGTTGTTGGTGCTTGGCCACGTATTCCGTGGTAAAATATCCCTGCGTCTGGGGATGCTGTGTAGCCGGAGGTGTGGTTACCTTAGTCGGTGGCTGCGATACCGTGTGTTGGACCAGCCGGAAGTTGCCCTGGCGGTCGTTGGTGACGCCTATATGTATGGGAACAGAGCTTGTCACCGTAGGTCTTGCTACAGTGGTACCCAATAAGGCGTCTAGGTCCACTTCTCGTGGAGTATGGTAGATGGCTGCCAATTTTCGGAGCTGATACTTCCTTCCAGCGCGACGTGTCCTCTTCGGCATTGGTCCAGTCCAAAGGATAATAGGGGTGAGTTTTTGGGTAAATTAGATTGAGCAACCTTCTGCTCCAAACTAATTCTTGGTGGTAGGGAAAATTGAACAATCGTCTGCTCCAATATTTCCGGGATAGGAATGATTGAGCGGTCTTCTGCTCCAATCAATTATTAGGTGTAGGGAGTAGAGTGTGAGCAATCTTCTGCTCCACACTCAGGAATGAGTTAACACTCGGGTTGTTAGGATTAGACTGAACATTTATTTCACATTATTTCGGGTTTTTATACAATATTTGTTTCCTGTTGCAATGTCGGCAGAAAATCTCTATCCGGTGCATACCTGCCAACTCAGCGTTTGCTTTTGGCACGTATGGTGACAACTTAGTATTTTATTATTTCTTTGAGATTTTGTACTGACATTGTTTTATAATATTCCCAATTATTTGTATTATTATAATATTAATCTTTTTATTGCGTACAATCTTGTTTTCAAATTCATAGATGATTGTACCGGGGAGGATACTCATCGCTGCCGTCGGTCATCCTTCTGTGGGTATCCCGTGTAGCAGTTGGTGACTCGACCGTGGGCACAACAATCGGTAACCCGGCAGTGGATAACCGGCTGCAGCTGACGGTGGGTAATATGTTTCCGTGCATAACATATTACAATGGATAACATGGTGTAGTAATAACTCTGATTCTAATAATTCTTTTCAATATTCATTTCTGGCCGTCACCCATGACAGGTCTTTTATGAATTTATTATTGCTATATTTTATTGTTTTCAGGTGTGATACCCTGTCATTGGTGATGAACCTGTAAGTAAAATCCCGTTTTTTACTCTCTTGAACGTTTAGGTTAATATTTTATTATTTTATGTTGACTACATATCAACATATTTAGATTTGTGTATATTATCCTATTAACCGGCTTTTATTTTTGTTTTAGGCCTCAATTTTAACTGCCGACGAGAAGTGGGGACGTAACACCTTCTCCCTCGCTCCTATGGCTCCTATCGCTCCTATTTCCCCTACGTATAAATTGTGTGGGGTTTTCCCCTCGCGACACCCCGCTAATGCGCCATCGAATGGTGACTCTCGCTTCCCGTGAGTGTTTCTTCGTTCAAATTTCCCTCCGGATGTAAATTAATCTGGAGTGGCTCCCAAAATGATCCCAAAATTATAAATTTGGTTTCATGGGCTTCGCTAGACCTACCCGAGCAAGTTGGCTTTGGGTTTTTGAATATTTACTCTGCCGATTTTCCGCTACGGCGAGTTTAGTTTTAGGGAGTTTTTAGTTTCCCGCAGTACGTTGCACGTATATCGCTGGGTTTAGATTTTTCTCTCTTTCATTCTCACGGGGATTCGCATACCTTTCCCCTCATTTCTCGGTACTCTTGAGTATTCCGAGAGTAATCGATAATTTTGTATTGTCGGGTGAGGAATTTGATGACCTCACTTGTGGTCGAGTTAATCGGCAAAATATTATTTTTGTATTACATAGTAAAATTCAAAGGATCATTTCCAATTTAATTTTTTTATTGCTATTTAATCAGTATTGTTGAGAACCTTTTTTTTTGGTAAGATCAATGCGAAGAGAAAACCATGTACATTAGTAATTTTTGAAACTTTAATAGTGAAACACGTAAGGACGATGTCGATTTCTTCTTTTTTTTGTAGTTCTGTTCACCCAATACCCGTCTCCACCTGAAATCCACCCCTCTATCCACAACCTAGCACACTGAGCGAACCAAGGACCGTTACCTTTCCCCAGAAATCTAGTTTTCTCCCTTTTTGAATAAATTTTGGAGGTTTTGGAATTAATTAGAATTGATTTTGTAGATTCCTCCGGGTTGGTAATTCCGACTAAAAATTACCTGGCGCCCATAGATTTTTGCATTTTTGAGCTTAACTAGATGAAGGGGAAGAAGGGCGAAGGTAATAGGCATTTTTAACCGTACGAAAATCTCACGTTACAGCATGTAAACACTTGCCTTTAAATATACAGTTCTTGTCAACACCGAGTCATTATTTTTTATACCCGCACCAAACCACCATGACGTGATTGAACTGAATAGTTTTCTCGCGTTTTCTTTAATTATTAATTATATCACGTTAACGCCGCGACTGCTCCGCGAAATCGGAGTGCATTTCGATCGTGCACTTTGGGAGTGGTTTCTGTGCCGCGTACGCTCGTGTGTTGTATCGTTCAAGCGCTCCATTCGTGTTGTTTTCGTGAATTTCGGTGCATTGCTGAGCACTCAAGGACGCTGTGCTGCACTGCGTATATTATACGTGGATAATATTTTTCAGACTTTCTCTAGTGTTGCTTTTCGCGAAACAAAATGCCCGATAGTATCGAAGTGCGCGAAGCTGACAATGGAGCCCCGCTTCAACGCGTTTCGATACGATGTCCCGCCTTCAATGCCGAACGTCCAGCGTTATGGTTCGCCCAGCTCGAGGGACAGTTTCATCTATCCGGGATTAACGATGAAGTAACGAGGTATTACTATGCCTCGTCTCATCTCGATCCCAAGGCCGCTGCTGAGGTGCAGGATATCCTCCTAAATGTGCCTGCCGAGATACCGTACACAGGTCTCAAGGAGGCGCTCGTTGAACGCTTCACGCTCTCCCGGGAAGCACGACTCCAGCAACTGCTCAACCGAGAGGTATTAGGTGACAGGAAGCCCTCGCAATTTCTACGTCATCTCAGGAGTCTCGACGACACGGTTCCTGACAACATTTTACGCACCAAGTGGCTCAGCCGACTGCCGATGACGACGCAGTCCATCCTGGCGTCACAAGCGGACATGGCTCTCGATAGGCTTGCAACACTCGTCGACAAACTGCACGAGATCCGGTAGCCCACATCAATGACGTCCAGGAGCCAACATCCTCAGCCCTCGAGACAGGCTTTTCTCGTCTCGAAGCCACAATCTGCGAGGTGGCATCGGCCCTAAAAGGGCAAAGCGTCGCACGTTCTCGCTCCCGATCTCGATCCCGTTGTCGAGTAACCTCGCCAGCACCTGACAACAACCAGTGCTGGAATCATCGAAGATATCACGATAGGGCTAGACGCTGCAAAGCACCTTGCTCGTGGCAGGGAAACGCCCCGACGGATCGTTAGTGGCGGTTAACGTTCCCTCTTTCAAATCCAGCCGCCTCTTCGTAACCGATCGCGCCACCAAAATCCAATACTTCGTGGATACTGGCGCCGATCTTTGTACATTTCCGAAATCTCTCGCTCCTGGAGCAAAGAGACGAGTTAACTATACGCTTATTGTAGCCGACGGCTCGACAATCAACACGTACGACTGCATAACTCTATCGCTCAACCTCGGCCTCCGGAGGGATTTCACATGGCGCTTCGTAGTGGCGGACACAACCAAACCAATTATCGGTGCCGATTTTTTGGCGCATTTCGGCAGTTTACCTGACCTGAAGAATGGCTACCTTATCGACTCAACAACTGGATTAAAGACCTCATGCGAAGTGTCGCTATCCAGCATCGTCTCGGAAATCAAGGTTACGCCTGTCGATCCTTCATGGTCAGATCTCCTCGGTAAGTTTCCCAATTTAACGAAACCCGAAGGAATATGCCTTCCAGCCAAACATTCGACGCTGCACCATATCGCCACTACACCCGGATCTCCAGTATCCAGCAAACCACGACGTCTTGCCCCCGACAAATTGAAAATCGCCAAGGTAGAGTTCGGCAAAATGATGCAACTGGGAATCACTCAACGTTCGAAGAGCCCCTGGTCATCTCCGCTCCACTTGGTACCGAAAAAGTCAGGCGAATGGCGACCTTGTGGAGATTATAGACAATTGAACGCGCGAACAATTCCGGATCGATATCCCGTTCGCGTTCTAGAGAACTTCAGTGCTAATCTCGCTGGGAATAAAAAATCTTCTCGACGATCGACCTCGTACGCGCCTTTATTCAAATACCTATGGCCATCGACGACGTAAACAATACAGCTATCATCACACCATTTGGCCTTTTCGAATTCCCGTTCATGACGTTCGGGCTTCGAAATGCCACACGAACATTTCAACGGTTTATCGACGAGGTCACACGAGACTTGGACGATTTCGCCTTTCCGTATATAGATGACATCCTCATCGCTTCCAAGGACATCGGGGAACATCGCAGACACGCTCTTTGAACGGCTCTCGAGAAACGGCGTTGTAATTAACACCGCGAAGTGTCGTTTCGGCCAATCGGAGGTAGACTTCCTCGGCCATCGTATCTCGGAGCAGAGAATCTAACCGCTCCCGTCGAAGGTAGAGGCGATCGTCAATTTTCCTCGGCCAATATCCATTCGTAAATTGCGTGACTTCCTAGGTATGATCAATTTTTATCGCAAATTTCTTAAAGATGCTGCAAGATTTCAGGCTCCTCTCCATGAATACACTGATGGTGCTAATGTCAAAGGCTCTAACCCTGTTGCCTGGACATCTGAAGGCGATACCGTTTTCACCGCCTGCAAGGAGGAGCTGCGAAAAGCAACGTTACTGGTCTATCCGGACACGACACTCCCGTCTGCATCATCATATGAAGGACGCCATTCGCAGTCATGAAAGCGATTCGTGGGTGGACACGCTGTCTATTGTCCTTCTCGGAATTTGCGCCGCCGTCTTCGGTGACCGCTCCGACTACCGGGGGAATTTCTTGCTCCTTCGCCACCACGCGGGCTACCGCCTACCAATATCGCCGTTCGTCTGAGGAATCACTTCACCAATCTCGCTCCTCAACCCGTCGCCCGTCATGGTCAGAGGAAGATTTTCGTCTTTAAGTAGCTCGCAAACTGCTCACACGTCCTCGTTCGTGGTGACGCTCCCCATCACGCCTTCACGTGCCCATACGAGGGGCCACACCAAGTAATATCGTGGCACGAGAAACATTTCGTCATCAGAGGCAAAAATACCGTAGTGTCCATCGACTGTCTCAAACCCGTTTTCTCACTCCCACACGACGAGCACAAAAATGACGACGAAGCTAACGACGATTTCTACGACAGCAATACGACACTGATTGCACCACCTTCACCGAAGTTACCGCATCCGAGAACATCTCGACGTTCGGCATCTTACCGCCAATCTGACACCGGCTCATCGACGTCATCAATTCAAAAGCACGTCAGATTCCCTAAACGACATCAGCTGTTCTCGACAAATCGATATTATTGATTTTCTTTTCGCGTTATTTTGTTTTCTTTTCTTTTTCCGGAGAAGGGGAGTACTTGTGGTGCGAGCAACAATAGATTAATTTCTTGAATTTATTTTGTACCGTCTCGAATATTCCAAACGTCAGAATTCGAGACAAACGTCATTCTGTCCTTATCCCTTATGAAATTTCAGGACACTTCTCGCACCTTCGATAAACGAAGGTATATAGACTCGTACGCTCCCGGGCGGACGGGGGAGATACATCCGCCGAGTCACAACTGTACACGGCACCGATCTGTACACGGAGCGCCACTGTGCACAGCAGAATTGTCCACAAATGAAATAGTGCACGGGCGAAACTGTCCACAAGGACAAAGTGTCCACAACGCGCCAAGCCGATAGACCAGCATCTGTTTGTAGGAATCGAATACATTTATTACCTATAGAATGAAAATGTCAGTAACAATTTCCGTTACCTGATGGCGCTATAAGATTGAAAAGATTATTTTCGTGGAATATGCAGGGCTGTAGCACCTGAACTCTTAGGTAAAAACTGAGCCTTGGGCTAATATGAACCAACTCCATAATTGATTGCCTCATTAACTCAAGTTATAGGCTTACAGCAAAATGGATTTGGGCAAAAAAATCATGTAGTTTTTGCGCATTATCAAGTAATTAATGAAGAAAAATGAGTCATGATCACTTTTGTGATCAATATAAATTTATATTTAATTATCACTTCAATGATTGAAAAAAACTGTTCTGTTTTTTTGTAATAAATAGTGGAACGGAATTAATGATGTATGAATTAATCATGTATTGACGGGAAAAGAAGTGTTGACACATCTCTCAGGAACACATCTACACTCAAATGCTGTCACCAAACAAACTTGTTTCACGACGTCTTCCTCCTCCTTCTACGTTAACATTTTCGTTTAACTGAAAAAGGAGAATCATTGTTGAACATGACCATTTCATGTAAATAGGTGATTTTTATAAAGTATGTTTCTATGTTGTTACCTCCGTATTCTTCATCCTTTTCTGCAGATAAGGATTTCAATTCCATTTTTCATGCTCGCTTAAACATTTCTCCTGTAGAAATTGATAATTTTCAAAATGTTCTATGGGGAATGCAAAATTCCAATATGATTTAACAGTTAAATTCTAACTCACTTGTTACATTGTCCTGCAAACTGATACGTTGTTCTTCATCAATTCTCTTCGATTGCTCTTCGGGTAGACATTGCTTCAGAAATGTATATATTTCATCTAGAGTATTCTGTAATGAGATGGATAGATATTAATGGATTTGATTCAACCATAGTCAATCCACGGATATTAATACAATTGTTGATATGACGCTGAAGTTAGCAGCCGACTTGGCAGCAGAACAGGGGCGTATCATGATCCCCTGGGGCCCAGTGCACACATGATTCAAAAACNGCGACTAATAAATTGCAAAACCACCAATAAATATTGATGAAAAAATACTTAGCGCAACTTCCTCAACACCCAGAAAAATGAAGTCTCTCAGACTGGTCCAAGGGGGTGCTAGGGGGTGGAAAAATGAAATTTTCGCGTNGTAAAAATCAATTATCGACATCGGAAAATGATCAGACACTACCTCGCTGCATTCATGAAGATTCTTACCCCTCTGAAACCATTACTTGTGGATGTTTGAGGGGTGCAAAAATTGATTTTCCTTGAAGTGAGAGAAAAAAAAATCGTTGGCTCCAAAACACTCAAAACCACCAACAAATTTCCATTGAAAGATATTAGGAAAGACTCCCTCAACCCCCAGAAAAATCAAGTCTCTCAGACTGGTCCAAGGGGGTGCTAACAGGTGGGAAAATGGAATTTTCGCGTAGTTCAAGGGGAAAAAAAAATCTCCAACTAATAATAAACAAAACCACCAACAAACGTTGATGAGAAAATATTC